ATACCGGGCATGGCATTAATAGGTGTACTTCCCCTACTTATGATAGCACTAATGCTCACAACTTAGCCCAGTCTCTGAGATAAAGTCACCAACAAGCAATTTTTATGGTCGAAAATCCAATTCAAATGTTTACAAATCGCTTAAACTGGGATCTCGACTGATGAGCGGGAGGAGAAGGCTCTCAAAAAAAAGACATAAAAATAAATCGCGTACAAATTGAAAATAATTTCAGATCTGATTTTCTCCTGGCAACTGGACAGAGATGTCTCCAGTGGAATTGCGGACAGGCGGGTCAACCACCACGACGGGTGGTTGGGTGGTTCGGTGGTGGAGTGGTGTCCCTTCCATTCCACTAAGTACACAAGAATGGAGCGTAAAAAATTTTTATCGTCGCGGTTTTTACGGAATGTGATCCGCGGCGATTAAGTGCGCGGCTTTTGTGTCATTGTCATGCCGTCGTCCTGGCCAAAAAGGGGCGGGGACCGCGGAGTCGCTCCGGCGGTTTATTTGCAGGGAGTCCTATTCCTCAGCCTGGAGTCCCCCCCTGTAATGTATTCAAATTTTTCCAAGGCGAGGCCAGTGTCAGTGCATTCATTTCATAAAATGCTTTTTTTCTCTGCCACTTTTCCCCATTTTCCCGCTTTTCTTCTTTCCCAGTTTTTCTTTCTTTTTTTTTAATTTAATCGCGGGCAAATATTTTCATTTTTACTGAAACGCTTTTAGCTAAATGAGTGGAAATAAAATTAAATCGATATTGGTTAACGTCAAAGTTTTTTAGGGGAAACCTCAAATGACCAATTTGGGGGAAGATTAAAGGACATCTGAATGGAGTTGTGGGGGGGTCTTAATGCAGGAAATTGATTTGCACAAATGATTCTTAGGGTTTCTTTACTCTGTATTAGGTTACGTATAGGTTATACATATTAAACAGATTTTATTAAGCTTTGCTTTGGATTTTAATCAATATTTTACTAGTTTTTCTAGTTTTAATAAAGAAAACATTAAAGTATTTGCTCAGAAACTTCCCTAAGACCCAAAGAAAACCTTGAACATTAATGTTTATAAATCCCTGATAAATTCCGGGACCTTTTCGCTTTAAAAATAATGACAAATCAGTTTGCAGATAAGGCCAGCGAAAAAGCTGCCCGAAAAAAATGCGGTGGAAAATAATAATCTTAAAATTTACTTTGGCCAGCCGCCGGCTCAAGCTTAACTAATTGTAACAGATTTTTTCACAGTCATGTTGGTGGGGGGGAAAGGCGAAGAAAAAACTGAGGAAAAATATGGAAAAACCCTTTGGGGCGTAAACGTCTGCCTGGCATTATCCTGGCTGCGGTTGGCCAATTAGAACCCTTTGTTTGCCTTGGCCAAGACGCCGCGCACTTATCTCCATAATAAAGTCGTAACAATTAATTGAGCGACCCGAAAACGGCTACCTTCCCGGCCTGAATCAAATCCTGGGGCAGAGCCTTGAAGCTGGCCCTGGAGATTTTTCATCGTTTGACGCGTAATTAGTGCTCAAAAATTATTTGACGAGCGCCAATTAATTTAATGCCCGGCGACATGATTTCAAGTTCAACGCGTTCTCGGTTTACCTTTTCAGTGGCACTTAACCACTGGGGCATTTGTGGTTAAATGGCCTTTCATAAAGATTAGGGCGGGATAAAGTTAAGCAAAATTATTGGAGTTTTTTGAGTGCATATTGTTCTTAAAATCGACTTAAAGTTTCTTATATTCAAAGTGAGTTTAAGAATATAAAATTAAGGTCAGTGCGGCTATATAATATTTCTTTATGGGGTGTTTTTTTATACAAATTCAAAATGCACTAGAATATAATTGTACAAACATTTTCCTGTGATTTATTAAGGTATCCTTAGATGCATTATCTTATTTGCAAGTCTATTAATATCAACCACACAATTATGGAATATCAATAATAAAATAAATCTCGAGGCAATCCTTCCGCCCCCTCAAAAACACACAGTCTGTCATTCGATATCCATTCGGTTTTCGTAGCTATCTGCTATCTCGACCAAGACATTAGATGAATCTCTTTCTCTCCCCTTGATGATTTTCGCACTCGCGCGGAATTCGTTTTGAATGAATTCAACTGTAAAGGTTAAAATTATAAATGTGCAAATGACTCATCATAAATAAAATTAATAAAAGGCACCGCGAACCTGGCCCTGTCCTCCGGTTTATTTTTTTTCCTGACCCTGGCAGACTGCGGGGCCTTCATTGAGAAAAAGTACAACGCATCAACATAAATATTATGATAAATGGTTTGTTATAATCGTAATCCTCGGGGGGTAAGTTTCGAGTCGTGCCGCACGCATTTTTTATGCCCTTCCATCCCTCCACCCACCGAATCAGGAGCAGGAGCAGGAGTAGGATGAACTGCTTCAGTTCTCGATGGAGCAACATATGGTCGCGGGGTGGATACGCGGCCTGGAGTGGATGATACAGATGGCGCTGCCAATGGATTTCCGCCTCTCAATAGCCGGGGCCAACAAAGTCAAATGGTTTTTTATTGGTTTTACCCCCAATCCTGTCTCCTGCCTGCTGTCTGCTGTCTGGTTGAAGGTATCCCACTCTCTCCTGGCGAGATCCTTTCGCACATCTCGCAGACACTTGCCGCCGAGTTGAACATGCTGCACGACAATTACAAACTTTTCTTGCAGTTCATTACGCCTAATTAACACTTGATGCTGAGCGTAAATTTTATTGCTTCCACTTTGTGTGTGTGTAAACAGGCTAACAAAACAATTTCAGCGGAGAAGACCTCATTCTACGACTCGTACAACTCATCCTGCGAAGGGCTTTCAGCCGAAATACGCGCCACACATTAAAATTCAGGATGCGTTGCAAACAATTTGCGGTAAACAATGATTGTGTACGAGGGAGGAGGGGATTCAGCTAGTAACAAGGATACAAAGGAGTAAAGGAATTCCAAATTGAGGCTTTAAATACATTAAAGAGATGATCAGCAGTATGTTAAATGTGATTTTATCTTAAATACAATCTTTACTTTAAGTAAAACAAATTTTGCCTTAAAGATCTGCCGACCTGAGAATCATTTAGATCGTTTACCTCTCGACAAGGAATTAATTTGACAACATTAACAAATTAAACTGTTAAGCCAACACAAACGCACCGGCCCTCTACACTGGCCGAGATAAACAAACGGACACATACAACATCATTTGTAATCCATATCGCTCAGCATGTCGTCCCTTCGGCTCACCTCCCCCGACTCCACACATTCCCTGGGTAATCTATATACACATAGAGTGAGTGTGAGCGAGTGAAAGATGTATTGACCCTTCAACGGCGCTTTGGTATGCTTCACGCTATTTATTGGCTCACTTTCACTCCGGGAGCCCTGGCACCCAGGAGCCAGGGAACCAGAGACCCGTACTCGGACCCGGAGAAAGATTTCCCAGCTCTCTCCCCTCTGGGGAATTCCTAGCTGTTTCAACTGGCCACGTGTTGGGATTTGGCGGTTAAACACACACTTACACACACACTTTCCAGGGGATTAGTGCTGCTCATTTGTCAACAGGATGTGTGTGGTTGGTTGGTGGTTGGAGTGTGTGGTCAATATTAATTGGCATTGTATTAGTTTAAGTCAGTGCACCCTCTCTCCCCCACATAATCATTTGCATTTGTCATTCGCTGAGGGGTGGAACTTCAACTTAACCAACGTCAAGAGTTCATTGCAAGAGATTCATTTAAAATCTTGTTAACCTCTTAAAATGGAGAATTACTATTACCAAATATCTGGTTATCGGAACTAAGACATTCATTTATTAGTATTTAAAATGTATATAAATAATGTATTACATTATTTAAAAACAATCAAAATGATTAAAATTATGTTTTTCATACGAACTTAATACATTTTCGTTCAAACTGCTAAGCCTATCCCATTCAAATAACCGTTGCTCGCCTTGTGTCCGATAAAAGTGATTAATTGAAACCCCTTCCCAGTATAATCCCCTCCTGCCCCATCGCCTCGGTTTTTATTTATCCCTGGGCTACTCAATGGGGAAATGGCGAATGGGAGGCACAGCTTTAAAATGGTGCAGCAGCAGCAGCAGACACGAAATACTCGTATGTATTTTTTGTGCTACAAAATCGCCGAAGGCTCGAAGGCCTGCAATTGCAACGTGCAACACGGCATGCCCCCTCGATCGAAGGCAAAAAAAAAGGGGGACAGGAAAAAATATTTTGACAAATGAACCTAAATAACAGGTTGCAATCGCTCAGAGGAAAGGGGTTCGGACGCAGGTTCGGGTTTTGGGTACTGGGTGCTGGACAGGAAAACGTATGGTCGGACAACCTTGATACCTCATTTATTTTAAATGCGACTGCCTCGATCCCTGGCCCAGCTGTAGTTTTCTCGAGTCTTTTTCCCCACTCCACTCTCTTCCCGTCGTCGCTTTTTCGTATTTCTTGCGCAAATGAAATCGACACATTCGACTCGAGTCGAAGCGAAGGGAAATAAATGAAACATTTCCAGCGCGGCGGAGCACTCTGCTCTCGAAAATTGTTACAAATGATCGCAAATAACAGATCTTTGCCGGCACAAACCGAGCTGTCCATCAAAGGAGCCGAACCCTCGCCAGTGCGTGATCGAGTGGGAAAGGGAGCGGGACGGCAGATAGGGTTCTGGGCTGGTCTTCTGGACGGGAAGTCGGGTTTGGAGTCGAAGCCGAAGACGAAGTCGGAGCTGCGAAGGCGCCGCCATGCTGCGCCTCATTTGATGCAAGGTAAATTGCATTGATTTCTTGATTAATGACAGTTTCGCATTTCTCTCGTTTACACAGGGAGAAAGAGGTCAGTTACGGGATAATAAATAAATAATTTCATTGAATTTAAAAATGGGAAACTTACAAACAAACGGAATATTAAAAGCAAAGAACATATGATTCCTTCAACATCAATAATCACATAAAGCACGTCCAGTTTCCCTCAGTGTATTGTATCTCTGAACTTACCCTGATTGTTGTTGTTGCTGCTCTTGCGGGATGTCTTCTTCTCCTTCATCCAGGGATACTCCGGCACCGAGTCCATGCCATCCGGCGTTTGAGGGACAACGCCGACCGGATATCCGACGCCGACCCCGCCAACATTGACATTAACATTGACGCCCACTCCTCCTCCGATGGCGCCGGCACCAACAGGTGTGCCGATTTTGGGACTCTCTGGACTCAGATGATTGAGGAACTCGGCCATCGACGGCTGCGAGTTGATGAATCCGCCCTCGGAGGCCGCCATCCAGTAGGCCGTATCCGCGGCCCGTTTATCACAGTTCGGAGCCATCTTGTTGACCAGCATTACCGCCGGCACTGGTGGTGCTCCCTGCTGGCCAACACCAGGCTGTCCGACACCCACTCCGCCGGGTCCACCGACTCCGCCACATCCACCACCCACTGGGAGCGAGGTCTGGCCGGTTTGCACCTGCAGCGGATTGAGCGGCGATTCCGATTTGATCTGCGTGCCCATTGGGGTCGTGTCCAGCGTGCTGCAGACTTCTTGCATGGCTTCGGTTTATATTTTCTTGACTTATTTTTGTTCTATTTGAGCCTTGAATAACCCTTTACTTGGGGATCTGCAAGGAGAAGTTATTCCAATGAGTCTTTTAAAATCAAATACCATTCAGTGCAATAATTGATGAATTATTTCTGTATTTTCTAAATTTGTTTACCCAGAATATTTAAAGTTGATCTTCTATATAAGATAATTAACTTCAAAGAATGAATATTTTATAAATTTTCAACCTTTAAAAATCGTTTTAACCTGTGGTCAACAGGACTTATTTTAATTCTAAGAAAATTAGTTAGTTAGAAAGCAAACTAAACGTTTACATACATGATCTTATCAATTTCAATTCCTGCTAAAAATTAGTTCCAAAGGGTTTTTAGACTTAAATAAACTTGAAAATTATACATTTCTACACACGCCCAATAGAAAAAGAACGCATAAAATATTATTGTATTATTTTTACGATGTTTTTTGAAAATATAAAATGGTTCTGTTAAGTGATATACCCAGCATTAGCTTTATAAAATGCTTTTACTTAAACTGCGTAAGATAATGGTCCCTACTATTCATTTTTCCAAATATATTAAAACTATTTATTGAGTATTTCCAAGGAAATTCATAGCAAGTTTAATTTTAGCTTTCAAAATGTATCTAAAGAAAATTTTAATGGTTTTTGTACATTAATTTAACTTGAACTCTTTTCATGTAAAGTAAAACTTGTTATTTAAATATGAAGAGTACATAAAAAGTAACAATAGATATCGTACCATTGCAAATTGATCATCAACAGATCTTTTTATTCCGCATTATTGTTTAAGTTCTTTCGTTTTCACTTGAGTTTTTTGAGAAATTTTCACCACTATCACTTGAATCGCAATTTTCACTATTGTCTCCACTTGTTCACTGTTGTGGCTTAACCCTTTTTTTCTATTTTTTGCTTAACCGTCACAACTTTCGCGATGCGGGTTTTGCGTAGAACTTTAGTGTGTCAGGGCTTATCTAGGGGCCGCCAAAAGAGGCGACAACCGCGACGAGAACGAGGGAACCAGATATAATATAAATATGGCCACCGTTGTGTTTACTCAACCGTCAAGTGCGGCGACAGTTCTGGGTTTGTTTTTCACTCTTTTGCGTTTTCAGTGCGACACACGCCTTTTGGCAGCCATGGCGACGCGAAAAGGCCAAAACAGAGCGGCGACCGACGAAACTGTGGCGATAACGGCGATAATGTCAGCTGCACACGGTGCGTATGCGTAATGTGTAGAGTTTGGAGACTTGCTGCGATCGCTGCAATGGCCACACACACACACAAGTACTACCGAGCAATGCAATTTGTCTGAGATAGTTTTCTCCACTTCACACACACACACTAGCTGTCTCGTTTTCGCGTTCAGGAGGTGCGCATAACCGGTTTTTCAGGGGTTCCTAAGGTTGTTTTTATGCGAATGCACCAGCACCTTGCAGTTATCGTAGATTATTTTATTTATTTATTATTATTTAGTATTTGTTTAAGGATTCTTGTTGCTTCAACTAAGCAGATCTTAGTTTTATTTAGTCACGAAAACGCGAACAGGGCGAGAGCCAGAGCGAGACGGAGAGCTTCTGGGGAGCTTCTCGTGCGGATACCCGAGAGCCGTGGACACAGAGCTAGACCAACCAACAACCACTCCATCCAATAGCACCGAACGCACTGAATTGGGATTTCGGTCGGGCCCAGTGGCAAGGAGTGGCCTAAGCGACAGCCACCGCCGTCCATCACTCTTTTTTCCGGCGCGGCACATGCGCGCTGGCCGACTGGAAACTGGTTACCATGGCCATTACCGGGGGGTGGAGTTGACGCACACCGGCGCACAAGTCTCCGGCTCTGCGATTGGTCGACCGCCGTGCCACTTTGTATCTTTGCGGTCGTGTCGCCCGGCTGCCGCTGTATCTTTCGGATGTCATTTCCGCAGGCAGCGGCTCGCTTCTCTTGCCTCACTCGCTTTTTTTCCACTTCCAACGCGAACGTGTTGCTTGTGACGGAATTTATTTGGTTTTTGTTATTTACACATTCCGCAGCGGCGGAAAAATGTGGGGGAAAAGCCACCGCATCGCAGCGAGTTTCTTCTCTCTCTCTGGGCGCTTTTTTGGCTTTCGGGTATTTTTGACATTTCGCTTTGCTCATCGCTCTTTTTGTTTTGAGCGTCTCTTCTCTTGTCTAACCATCACGTTGTCAATCTTGGTGGCATTGCTTTTGGCCCGCTTTTTGCCTTTTGCCCAGTTTGTTCTCCCCCCTTAAACGCCCGTGCTTTCGACGCCCTGCTTTTTGCTGCGTTTTCCAATCCACTCGATGCAGTTGGCGGCAAAAGTTTCGCAATTAAGTGCGGATTTTAATGCACACCGAATGTCAGCACAGGTGTAAAAATATTGCTACATTTATTGCAACAAGCGTAGGGCTGGACAGTGGCTGTTAAGAGGGCTATAAGAGTAGATATTGATATGATCATAGAAAGTAAATAACATGAACCTTTTGACTGAGGAACTATTTCTAAGGGTCCCTCATTTTGTTGATTAAATACAAAATATGAGCTCTTGGGGTACATTTTATATTTTTCCATTTATACTTTTTAAAAACTATAAAACTTAAAACTTACAATACAATTATTTTTGGCATATCTACAGTTTTGGTAAATTTTCTTCAGATCAAAACTTAAAAATCTAATAGGTTTTGTATAAAATCATAATCCACATCCAAATATTCATCGGATGAAATGGAACCAGATGCCGAACTATTCGAGTCCCAGCAAATATTCTGAATCATGGGCTGTTCTTGGCAGTAAGGAGCCAACTGAGGCTCTGTGACACTTGGCGTAGGAACGAAGGAGGTCTCAAGACCCAGCCAATGACTCGCCCAATTGGGATCGAATTCGTTGAATGGCACTTGAGGCAGATCCATAGGTGAAGGACAGAACTCTTGAAGGTAGTCGTAGTCCTGGTAGGGAGGTGTGATTTGGCCCTGGTCCAGAACTGACAAAGCATCCTGCGAAGGGGGAGCAGACATCTCCACATTCGTATTTACATACTGCAGGAGGCGCTCCACGATCAGGTTGTCCTCCAAGGTGTCCTCGCTCGATTGAGAGGCACTCGAGTTAGTCACTGAGTTAGCCACTCCCTGGATCGCCTGCTTACTGGCCGACTTCTTCAGCTTCATGCGTCTATTCTGGAACCAGATCTTAACTTGTCTCTCGGTCAAACCCAAACGCTGGGCAATCTCAATTCGACGGGTGCGGGCCAAATACTTGTTGAGATGGAACTCCCTCTCGAGTTCGATCAACTGATGGCTAGTAAAGGCCGTTCGCGATCTCTTAGACTTTTCCAAAGACTTTGATGGAGCCAAGGGAGCTGACTCCCAGTTTAGATCGGCACAGGGATACATCTAAGAAAGACAAAGTATATCATAGTTTCATTTAAAATAAATTATGCATTTTGCTTAACTTACCTCAAAATTGCTGACTGAAGAGCTGTCCACAAAATTGTTTTCTTCTTTGAAGGAGATCATTTTAGCAGGAGAGTATTTTCGTTTGCTTCTGTTCGCTAACAGTTGTGTTTTTTAACTAGATGCCATCGAAGTCGTCTCATTTGCTTATATACCAACGCCTTAGGTACCGGAGCGGATCGGATTGGCCTTGGTTCCTACCTGTCCCGCCTGCGACACTTCAGAATTGGCAGCCGGCTGGTCTGGCCTGGTCTGGTAGTTGTCGCGTCTTGGCTAGCAGGGCTTAGAGACAGGCCGCAGTCCAGGCTCCAGGATAACGTCACCTGAAGTGGCGTGAGTCCTGATTGCGTCTTGTTTACTTAATTAATAGCCAGTCGCTGTCGTAAAGTTCTGAGACTTTTCCAGTACGTCTTTCGAGAAGTTCATGTATTAGTGTGTGTTAGGAAAACTATTCTATTTACACATATTGTAGAAATGTATAAATTGTATTATTAAAATATTATTTAAAAAATAATTCATATAAATTATGTGACATTACATTTGACATTAAATTTGTTTTAAATACACTTCAGTTAACAACTTGTGAGCCATATTTTATGGGGTTGATTAGCACCTTGTACCTCACCCAGAAAAAATCTACGAGATCCACTGAAAGATCTATCCTTCCTACCTGGGATTAAGTACAGCACAGCTTTGAAGCTGACCACCTTTTACCCCAATCCCCTGCCCAGGTAGTAGGTAGACTATGAACGGGAAGATTTTGGTTTTCCCCGGGGTTTTCCAAGTTAGTTATGAATATTTGAGGATGGAGTTACCTGCCGATCGCACGATTCGATCCGATCCCTTATCCAAGGCCATAAAAAGAGTGTCGCTGCCACTTCAAGCTAATCCAAGCACCGCTATAAAATCCGCTGCATACCCGGGAACAGCACTACGTGATACATGGCATAGATTTATAAAGGCCCAGGCTTATGTAAACTAGCATGGGTTTTGGTTTCAGTGTGTTCCGAAAGGATATGGCCAAAGCACCAGTCCTTCGAGATATAGCCCAAATTAAGCAGAATCTTCTTAGTGATCAGGTGATCTCGGCTCAAGAGTACCCCATGATCCCTCACTGTAAAATGTGAACGTAAATGGCAGAAAGCAAAGCTACAAACTTGTCTATAAAAATTAAAACTTATTCTGAAATTAAAATTAAAAATTATTCTATAAACTAGCATAATCAGAACCCATTTAAAGTAATTCAAAAACTACTTATTTCGATTCACAAACTCTGATAAACTAATTCAGCTTAAAGCCGGCTAAGATATGATGCCAGAAAGAAAGCCATGTGTCTCGGCAATTTCGTGGTCACCACGGCAAGAGCAAGACTTGCTCCTGCTCTTCTCTCCCTAAGAGTGCTCAGATAAATTGGTGTCATCGCATCATAAAGTAATTTCCAGCATATTGAAATTTTCCTCAGCTTTGCCATCTCGGCCGGCATCGTGTGTGTCACATGGAAAATCAGAGAGACGAGGTCCATATTAGATTTGTCCACAGAGCGTGTTTTGTGAACAATATTTCATCGTCAGCTGTCACAGAGTCATGTGTTTTTATTAGTTATTTGATTATGCCAATAATAGAAACTTGTAGAATTTCATTATCGATAAAGTTTTCGAATGCAAGGAGTAGGTGCAGGGATATTCATAAATTGTGTAACAAATGAATAAAGTTGTAAGTGTGAAATGAATAATAAAAATAAATAAAAGCACTTTTTTGTTTATTATGAAAAAATAGTAGTTATATTTACGAATTTTTATCTTCTTATTACCGTGACCACAATATAAAGATAATTATTTCGATCTTATCCCGATCAATTTTCGCTTAATGTCTTTCTAATTGATATATTTTCACTCGATTGGTTGACATAAAAGCCCAAAATAGAGCAGTAAAAACATTCCATGAATTGCAGAAAAACAATTGATTGATGCTCTATATGTTTATATATATATATTTAGCCTTTTCCTATTGTTCAGTTGCAATAAAATGGAGACATTACTGTCAGATAATTGCGTTAAATGGGAAGAATTAATGAATGGATAAGAACTTTCTGCCGACTAAGTGGGGCGACTACTCATTTGGAGTTGTCCCCTGCCGCCCCCGAAGAAGCTTCCATCCAAGTACAAGATGCAACTACCGCAACAACCGTGACAAGTACAACATTTGTGTCGCCTGCCTCGGCTTCAATCTGTCGCCCTCCGCCTGTGCCACGCAACCTTTGACACGCATAAATGGAACAGTCAACCCCGGCCCCGGCCTCAGCCCCACCGCCCTCAGATATGCCCCATCTCACAGTCTGTGCACTGTAAAAAATAAAGAAATATTTAAATATTTGTTGGGAAAAATATATAGATGATAAATTAATTTCTAATTGAATTTTAACATTTTGACTAAAACTAAAATGTAATTACTTTACCAAACACAATCTTAGGTAATTAAAAATAGTAGAAAAATTATAATATATTCAATTTTCTATACATTTCTATACAATACAAAATATTTAAACTATTCCTGTTGTACTTAGTCCATTAATAATCTAAAAGTAATAAAGAATATAATGATAGTACATACCACAAATAACCTACCTCAAGATAATCATTATATATTAAATTTAAGTTTAAATTAATATGTAATTTCCCTTAAGGTTAAATTAATTATTAAAAAAATTCAACTTAAAATATATTTTTAATTCAAGTGTGCCGACATGCCAATGCTGAGTGTCAGCTCTACGGTCTCCGTTCTACGGTCTGCTGTCCTGGCCCGAAACCCGGACCCGGCACAAACAAAGATCGCAATTTGACTCTACACCACGGAGCTGTCAGCTGGCAGAGAGTGAAGGAAGATTGATTACCGCCATCGAATTGTTTGCCTTCATCCGGGGTAGTTGCTGCCGGGGACGGGGACGGGGATGGGGCTGGGGACGGGGTAGAAAGGCATCAGAGCCGAGGATGTGCATGTGGCCCTTGTGCCCGACTTCGATTGAATGGCATTGGAATGGAATCGAAAGAGTTGAGCTACCAAACACGATACTCCTGCTGTCATATGTAAACAACACTTGAAGTTTTTGCAGGCAAAAGGGTTGGTTTTTAAACAAGGAGGGGTGCTTCTCCTTAAAACAGTATAATGAGCTTAAATGCGATGTCATAATTTTGTAAATAATATGCAGATTATGGAATTTATTATTCTCTCAAAAATTTAGGTTTTGCTTTATTTCGAAAATGGTTTTAAGACTCCACAGTAAAAAAAAAGAATTAAAAAAAAAGGAACGATTCAACTGGAACCTTTTATTAATGCCCAATTTTTATTTTAGCTTTTCCAGGAAATCATCAATAAACTCCATCTGCTTCGAATTGAATTTGCGGGCATATTTCACACAATTCTCGAAATTGGAGTCATCATTGAGGCCTTTATAGGCCATGGCACGATACATCCACGCCCTCAGGTTCTTCTCGTCCAACTTGTTGAGAACGAAATCGCAATCGACAATGCCTCGTTTGAATTTGCCCGATCTGCAGGAGTATTAGAACATCCATCAAGTTGGGAATACATATATTTATATACATGGAATGGCTTGGATTTCATACTTGATAAAGCAGAGAGCGCGATTTATGTAGAGGATGTGACTGTCCCGAATATTCTCGATGGCCTCGGTATACATATGCATGGCAGTTTCGTAGTTACCCCTTCGATACTCCGCATTTCCTAATCTGAAGGAGGGCATATATATTTACATATCTAAATCAGAAATAATTATAACCTACTTTCGAAAGTTCTGCGCAACCCGCTCTCTTTCCAAACGAGCTTTGGAACGCTGATCGAGATCCATTTCCACCTGTCGCATAAAAGGAAATCGATCTTTTTTCCTATCCACTGGGGTGAATGTCCTTGGCTTGGACTTTCCTTTTGAGTAAGTTTCCTTTGGTTCAGTGGAAACTGTGGGAGCAGCTGATGATTTTTTCTTTTCGGTGATTATAAAGTTGTCCTCCGTCACCGTCATTGAGTTCGGCTCCTTCTCAGGTGTGTCCTCCTCATCCTCCCTTGATACCAAAAAATAATTCAATATAAAACATTTCATTACCTTCCACTTACTCTTTGGGCTTTCGAAGGTTTTCCAGCAACTTGATGACTTCTTCAACTGTTGATTCGGATCCTAAGAACCGTTCATCCATTTGAGGGTGTTGCAGGGAGTACATAATTTCCAAATATTAAATAAAGGATTTAAATAAATATTTGCCTTAGCTTTGACCCTTGTTTATACGTTTTGTTTACCAGCTGGGCAAACAACTCGCGTGGCAACTTGGAGCTAGCTTGTTTAGTGCCCATAACCAACTGGTTGCCTAGCAATATGGCCAAAAAGTTTAAGAAACTATAGATAAAATCTTTGGTTTTAACTTAAAAAAAACTGGAATATTTTAATATCATATGGATAGATCTGCTTTTTTAGTCATAATGGACTTTATGAAATATTTATACAACATTAAATCCCACTAAATATTTTTATTTTGCCAGTCATTTGCGTTGAATCGTTTACATGATTACGGTTGTACACAAACACACACCTGCACACCCTAGTACTAACACTCATGATAGTCATATTCATACTCACGCTCACATTACTTTTCATTTAATCTCATATAATTTGTAAGATAAAGAAATGCACAAATGCATGCTCAGCGCAGCTCAGCTTGGCTCAAAGGATCAATTATAGACTATAAAACATAATGGCATCTAATAATAGTAGAGCTGCAATCTCGACACGACTGAACCTAGTCCCCCCCCAAGCACCCCCTCGGTTACACTCTGCCAAATTTGCATATTGTTCTGCAAATTATTATTAAATAAATAAGCCTGATATAAAATATATAATCGAATTTTTGTCATTTAAAAACCTTTTCTGCTATCCAAAATTAATATTTAAAGGATCCAAGTAAAGGATCAGTTAACATATAGTTTCTGTCATTTTGAAAAACCTTTTCTGCAAGTGAGACTCTCTCTTTCTCACTCCATCGGCGCACCTGGAAGTGCATGTCGCTGGCACATTACCTGCAGCGAGAGGGAGCTAGCGTAAAGGATACCTGGCCGGGGGAGAGCTGGGTGGCGGATATGTGCCTGTGTCGTGTGTGCCAAGCATTTAGGAGCCGACTCACACTCACTCACACACGCTAGTACCGGACATGGACATGCTTAAGCGCCAGGTTCTCTTTTGGCCAGGAGGCTAGCAGGGAAGGGGAGCGGCGGACAAGGGGCGGAAACAAAATGCACGGGAATAAATAATTGCAGTGCGGCAAAAGGAGCCTGAACTGGTTGTGGCACCATTTCATTCCGGCAAATGGACAAACGACAACGACACCAAATTGCTCACATGACGCACAGCATTTTTTATTCCGCTCCGCACGAATTTCGTTCGTTGGTTGGCCAAAGTTGGCAACGCTCCTGACGGTTGGCCGGTGACTCCTTGCCGCCTGGCGGCATCATCAGCATAGATTGCCATTTCGACGTAATTGTTATAAATGAATTTTACGTAATTTAATTATGGGTTTTAGACCGATGAAAAATATACCGGCCAGCGGGCCATAAATATGGCTCAACCCTATATAGTTGGGAGGTCACTTGCATATGTTGCGTATCAGCTGTTGGAGAGGGTTGAGGATTGAGAGTGGGCAGGCATGAATTATCCATGAAATTGGTACAATCCAAAGGGTTTGTAAAGGCATTATTTGAATAGATTTTGGGACATTATAACCAACCTTAAACCTAGCTTAATGACTTCTTAAGATACATTTTAAATAAGAAAGAAGAAAAGCAGCTAATCAATAAAGTTGTTAAGCATTTTAAACTCTGTTGTTTTTATTAAGCATAAATATAAGGTGTCTTTCCCGGATTGCACATTTTCTAGCAATATTCTTGTCGTTTTTTTATAAGGGTAAAATGAATTCAGTAGATCCAACAACAGATGCCTCCAACAACATCACGGCTCATGACCCCCATGACTCTTGGCCAGGATGGCACAACAAAAATTTCATTGTATGCCCAAGAATTCCAGTTTGGGGCCCAGGATGCCACAACTACCCCCTTGCACATCCCCTAGCAATTGGCATTCAAATTTTGAAGTGATTTTTTTCACGCATTCACAATCTTCCGTGGAATACAAAATAAGAAGAGTTTTCTGTGCCTGCTGTTCACTATATATGCATATTTTTTTTGTGGCCCAAAAACAGGACAGCCCCGGCCGGCATATGTGGAATGAACGGAAAGTTTTTCTCGGCTATGCACGATTTGTTTATACGACAGGTGTTGGCCATATCGCTGGCGTTGAGGGACTAACACGTCTGTGAAATGTCATAACGTTTAAACGTGCCAAAAATATCCAAATTGAGCTGAAAACAGTTGGGCGGAAAATGCTGAAAAACGTATGGGTGAAATAGAAAGGCTTTGAGGAGAGGGAATTTTATATACAATAATTTATGGTAAATGGAGAGAATTTAAGAAAGGTAAGTCGCCTTATCTAGTATGATTAAATGCATTTCGTGATGTATATTCTCTATCCGCTCCAGCTAAATAACCCGGTTAATTAACTCTCAGATATACCCATCCGAAACTAAACGGATTCCTCGGCGAAGCCATTTCATTTGCACACAAAATACATTCCGCTCGGCTGTCGCAAGGATGCCATGGCACTTGGCTGTCGCTGTCCTGGCCGCGAATTCAAAATTCATTGCAGGAGGAGGCGGCTGAAAGCCAAAGCGCCCAAAAGGCGATTAGCCATAAAAATTATAGATTCAATCTAATTAGAAAACGCTGCGGTTGAGCATTGGGAAGGAGGGGGAAACCCGAGTGAATATTTAATTTAATTAACAAGAAACAATTTGAAGTGTTTTTCGCCCAGCCTCTGCTGTGGCTACGCAATTTATTGTTATGACCAGGCCAAGACTGCGGCGTTGTCATTGTCATCAAGGTTTCGGAATCCAGCTTCCCGCCTCCGGGCACCCATTGCCCAACTCTCCACTACCGATTCCGGCTAATAAAACCGCAATGTTGCCACTGCGCGAATGATTGAGCGCAGAAATTGGCCAACTGGAGCAACTGGGGACAATCTGTGCGCTGTTGGACATGTTTATTACATTGGCATTTCGCGTAATTGAAGCTGGCCCGCGGAGAGTTGTTTACTTGTTCCTGCTGTTTGCTTTTTATGCGACTTTGATTAGCTGCCTCTGATTGCCGAGCGATTAGCCACGCCCACGCTTCCCACACACCGGCCTCCGAATCCGGCATCTATATTCATTATGGCAGCCCCAAACATGTGCAGGACATGCTCCGAGCAGGAGCACGAGGAACTATAACCAGAACCAGAAGCGAAGCGAACCGGACCACATGTCAGGAAATGTCAACAATGCGCATGAAAATTCCAAGGATCCACCCCCCAGAGAAAGGTCCTCCCCCTGGTTCCGCGACTTCCACATGGATGTACTGAGAAAAAATATTTATTGCTCTAAAGACAATTTAAGAAATTAATTACTTGCATGGTATTTAGTTTCTGTCTGTAAGGATCAATAGTCTTTCCACAAGCAAAGAAAATCTTTCTAATCTTTCATTACTTTAAAGCTTAAAGAAATAAACATGACTTTAACATTTCAATTTTACAAAATATATTAAGAGGTAGTTCACATCTTAGAGTATCCTTTTTCCGAGTGCACTTTCGGCAAGTTGGCCGTGGCAAGTGCGAGCGACAATTTCCTCCCAGGGGAAGCAATTTGCCACACACACACACACTCACACCACTCCTTACCCAAGGGCCAAAGGACCAAAGGGCCGAAGGATTGGATGGAAGGACTGGTGGAAATTCCTTGGAGCTGAGTGTCGCATTTCCGCGCTGCAAGACGCTGGCCAGCCACCGCAGCCAGTAGCAAGTAATGTGTGCGGTTAAATGTCCATAAATCAAATCCTAACACTCCACCGCTCAAGATGACCAACGGAACCAGGTCCAGCGCAGTCAGGGTGTAACTGAAACTGAAACCGGGCCTGTATCCAGATTCCGAATGGAACAGGGAGGGGGAATGGGAATGGGAATGGGGGCTGGACCTGTCCGAGTTAATGCGGTTGACACTTTTCTCGAGCCCTAATAGATGGGCGATGCAATGGAAATTCCTCGACTTGACCTCAAGTCGTCCGCAATGGGACATTAAATGCAAAAGTGAAACCAAAGACAACTGGGACACAGGCTAAATGCTAAAAATTAACTCTCCTTCTCTCCCTTTGCGGCTCAGTATTTTCCCAGTCAAGTGTCCACTTGGCAGCGGAAGGGTCTTTAAATTTAATTTATTAGAAATATCAAAGAAAATGTTAATATTTCGAAATAATACATTTATTTATATAATTTTTATATATTTTTATAGTTTATTTTTTAGTAATATTTTATGAAAAAAATGGGTTTCCTTAACTTATATGTAATGGTTAATGGTTATTTGTCACTGAGCTGGTTAATAATTTTGCGTCCAAGTGCCAGAGACGTTTGCTTAGCTCTAACAAAAATGTATCTTTAGGATAAATAAAAATTAATCTTGTAAGAATTCATTGGTATAGTTGAAGCTGGGATTAATGTGGGTGATGCTCAGCTTTCTGGACTTGGCAGCCGGCTCGCCCCATGATAAATTCAAAGAGGGAGCCGGATGCACAGCGCTCGAAGGTATTTGGTTTTGGCCATTGGAATGCCAGGATTGGGTGGCCAAAACTGGAGCTGACTTGGACTTTGACCATGCTTGAGCTGCAGCCTCCAGATCTTGCTTAATGCTCTGCAGAACCAGGTCCACGTTGTAGGAATAGTGTCCTGATGAGGAAGTCGGTCCTGAGTTTGGTGGAATGGCGGTAGATCCTGCATTAGCAATGTTGTTTGTTGGTGCCGTTGTGGTCTGAGCCAGGTGCTCTAAGATCTCGCTGAGATCAGAGCTGGAGCACATGCTGTTGTTGTTGACGGCAACAATTTCTGTTTTGATCTTGCGTTGCCCATAGGCTGGCTGTGGATCCACAGGAGGTACAGCAACCTGGGAATGCTTTTCGGCGGCAGCTGCCGCGGAGTTCTCCCTGGGATCTTGGGAATAGGACATCAATCGCTGAACGATTCCTCGATGTGCACTCTGCTCTGCCTGAGGCTGGGCCAACTTTGCATTGGCTTTTGGTTCGCGGTGACCCTGGATGT